ATATTTGGTTAAAAAGAACACAATGGTGCTCTAGGAGGAGATTCAGGTGATAAGGTGGGGGGGGGGACCGGGGTACCTTGGTTGATTATTGACTAATGGTTACACAACCCAAAAAAACATTATGACTTCACAAAGTGGCCAAAATCTGATCAGCTCATTTTCCGACAGGTTTTTATATAAATGGATCAGGATAAAAAGAGAGACAATCCTTTTTCCTGAAACGTTCAGAATCTCTTTACACAGAGGGGACACATGTTTATGTATAAAAGACATGCAAGAGTGGATTTTGCACAACAGGGGACCTTTAATGCTGAGGGGGTCATGTTTTCTCAGCAGTTTCAACTCGGTTCATGCAGGTTGAAGTGTCGGGTGGTGGTGACGTTTGTCCGCCTGCTGGAGGAGATGTGGCTGGGAAGGAGCTCCAGCTGTGCGCCTGTGGAAGCCAGGTCAGTGCTGTGCTCAATCCTCCCCCAGTTCAACAACTACTCTCAGCAGGACGCCCAGGAACTGCTGCTCTTCCTCCTCAACGCACTCCACGACGACCTCAATAAGGTGCAGCACCATCTATCACTCAGAGGTATCTCTCTGTGGTGAATCATTACACCATCAGAAAGAGTAAATGTGTATTTGTGTGAACTTACTTTGTTTCAAAGCACAAGATGCGCTCCTCAAAACGACCAAGACAAGACCAGAAGAGGAACTGTTTCCCTGCGGTGGGGGGGTCCACCATCGTGTCACATCTGTTCGAGGGCCAGCTGGCCTACATGACCCTCTGCATGCACTGCGACCACCAGACACACAGCACTCAGACCTTCACTGTGCTGTCACTGCCTCTCCCAACAGACATCAATAAGTGCTCCATTCAGGTACATTTTACACCTTCTAACACCTGCTACCATGGAAACATCAACATGACTCATGGACAGATTACTGTACAGGCTAAGGGTCCCTGGGCCAGATCCTCTGTTTAAATGTAGGCTACTGGTAACATTTATTTTTAGGAAGCCACAAAGACACAAAATCACCACGAGATGCTAAACAAGCAAAAACAGATTCAAAAAGACCACAAAGAAAATCAAAACTTCAACAAAACTATACAAAGCTCCACACACAACAACCAAAAACCGACAGAATACGACTACTGATATTATTACCGACTAATATAACCACTACAGAAATAAAAACAAGGGATGCAAAATGACCGAAGATTTCTCTTTGGATCTGTGGCCTTTGTGGAGCCCTGTACCTCAATACTGTAGGTGCCCATATCCCTCTGTAGCCTATGTATAGCACGTTTTAGATAAAGTTGTCTCATTGCTCTCTCACTTCTGTCACCATGTTGCAGGACTGCCTGTCTCTGTTCTTCGAGCAGACCGTCCTGACCGGGGGGGAGCAGATGTTGTGTTCCATGTGTGGGCTGAGGAGAGAAACGACAGTCCTCACTTGTTTAGACAAACCTCCAGAGATCCTCATGTTGCACCTGAAACGGTGGGTAGTCACATTACGTTATCTGTTAAAGGTAAAACTTTAACACTAAACAGCAAGGGCATGTGTTTAAGTGTCAAAGGAATGAGTGTTTTGTTAATCAAATGTATCTTTATCTCCTCCAGGTTTGGTTGTAAGGGGAAGAACCAGATGAAACTGAAGACTAATGTCGAGTTCTCCTCGATGCTCGACCTCTCCCCGTTTCTGTCCAGCTCAGTACAGAACAACTCATTTTCTTCATACCACCTTTATGCTGTTGTGGTCAGTAAACATACACACATTTATTATGAACTGTACTGCCTAAATGATATTTGAGTGTACACTTTATTACAAAAAAACGACTGATTCTTAAACTCTGGAAGGATTCAATAGAAGATTTCAAACTTTCTTTCTCATTGCAGATACAAAATAACTTGTTTAGATGATAAGACACTAAAATTGACTAAAACCTGTCACTATGTTATTATTAGTATTTCTGTCTTTATTTCTGTTTATGTATTATATACTTCTTTAATTTACATATGTTGACGGTAATGACTGCAGTTACTTCATATCTTAGTAACAATGTAATTAGTGTGTTGCTGAGTGATATTAAACTTTAAAACCACATTTTAAAAGGACGGTCTTGTTTTAATTGTTTGTATATGACCACATAAAACTGGCCACTGTGTACAGTACTTGCTAAATCATAAAATGATCAATTGTGGCTAAAGAATTTGAGATTTGATTCACTTTGTGTAAATAAACCTTTTCATCCTCTAGAACCACATAGGTCACCTGAACATGGGTCACTACACCGCTCTGTGCCACAACGCGCTGACTCGGACCTGGCACTGTTTTGATGACTCAGCAGTCAGAGAGGTCCAGGACAGCCTTGTTCAATCTCCCAATGCCTACATGCTGCTCTACAGCCGCAAGCCCTTCCAGAAGCCCAACATCCACGGACTCTGAGCCCAGCAGGCCACATGTGCTGTTTAATGGATACCCTGGTGTCTATCGTTTGTTAAAAGAAGTCCAGGGTAAATCAGTTAAGAAAGCATTCTTTAAAAGATATCTGCTCTTTATTTTCGCTGGCATAACCACAACGGCTCTTTGAATAAATATCCAATATTGTCTTGTGTGTAATAATAATGATATCCTGTCTAAATGTTTGTGTGTAATATTTCTACACCATATTGTCTTATATCCGTAGAAAGGAAGAGACTAGAGGATTAGCTGGAAGGTTTCATTAACCCCATAAGTATCGGACCTTTTTTTAAATGGCTCCATTGTAGCCGATATCTCCTGAAAAAGCCAATCAGACACAAACATTAATTTGAAGCAGTTTTAATAAATAGTCATATGAGTTGTTTGAGGTTAATATAATCGTTATATCAGAAACTAATTGTTTCCAGAGCATTAAGTAATAAAATCATCATGTACAAGTAAAAAGAAAACAGATAATGATCTCATGCTAGGCAATAAAACTTTACATAGGAAGTCAAATCCTGCCGCCTCAGGTCCTTCAGAGGAAACATCAGTTCGGTTTGGGTTTGTAATTCAGTCAGTCGGTCAGGTTGACGCTAACACACTCGCGTAAGTGATCAAGGTCATCTTCTCATGACTTCATATTCTCTCGGGTCAGTACTGAACACAGAAATAAAATGATATAAATCTAAATTAAAGCCTTCTGGAAACCAGCAGAACTGGTAAACGCCAAGAAGGATGCAAAGTAATCCCAGTAATGTTCCCTCTAAATAGCAGTTGTGTCTGAATATATGAATGTAAAGAGTTAAGTGTGTGAACAGAGAATTCTGCAGGTGGTTTATTCTGTCACTGCCCGGGAAGAGACGGACAAGCTCTCAGCATCAGCATCGTATGAAAGAGTGGAGTGTCAATGTCTGCTGTTAAACAAGGTGTTACACATGAACTTAAACCAATTGCATATTGTGTAAGTGCAACAATGTGGCTAATATGAACAAGCAACAATCTCAATCCTAGCTTAAGGAAGAATGCAAAAGCCAACACACACACGGACTCTTCCATCCCATGAAGACCATAGAGTGGGGCCAGTTGACCTCAAAATCATAAACACATATTTCTCCTCTTACCTGTAGTGCTGTTTATCAACACAGATTGTTTCAATGTGGGAGTTGCAGAGAGTTCAGAGATTTAGGCTGGAGAAAATGTCTGCTTCCTCTCAACTATAATAGCACTTGGTTGCTCGAACATCAATAATTCCATTTGAGAAAAAAGAAACAAAGCAATGTAGAGATCAGGGCCCAGTGACTATAGATAATCCACAGACATGATACGTGGCACTACAGGTGAGAGGGGAAACATACATCTTTGCTTTTGGGGTTGAATATCCCTTTAAACCCCTACACAGTGTGTCTCATATATGATGATACAATGAAGGCTGCTACTTTCAAGAAGGAAAAAAAAGATAATTTGGTCACTTAACAGATAAACACCTTGCCCTCCGGTATTTACATTTTGAATGTGCAACATCAGCATTGGTAAGTATGTACATGGCGTCTAACTGTTACTCGGCTGTAGACACAGAACCGATCTGTTCTGCGATACAGCCGTCCACACCGAGGGCAGAAAAGAATGAAGAGCATCTGAATCATCCGTCAGCCCTACACACACCCATCGAGAAGTAAAAGGAGCCTCAGTTAGTCACTAGATGATCAGTAATAAGAACAGACGGCATGTTTAACAGGTATAGGGTCCTCTAGAAGCTGAAGCATTGCACAGTGTGCCTACACCTTCCTCCCATCTGCGACCTTCTAATCGCCACTAGTGTGCACACACACGACTAATCGACCCACAGCCATGTGCGCCAGGCAGGTCCTCAGCTGTAAAAAGAACAAACAACCTCCAGGCTTTAGAGTCTGGTGTGGTGCTCTCTCTTTGTGTCCTACGGCTCCATCACAGGGTGGAGTAAAACAGGATGTAGGCTGCGGAGGACTTGACGGAGGGGGTGGAGATTTCCATCACCTCGTGGTCATCAAACTTGTACCAGCGCTGTTTGGGGCCGTTCTTACAGTAGGCCGTGTAATGGCCGCCGTCTAAACCCCCGTAGTGGTTCTGGGAGTGGAGAAAAAGAGGGTTAGGCTTTCGAAGCAGCTAGATAATTACTATAATGAATTGTAAACCGTTAAAAATGTTCACGATATTCTTAACTATCCCCATTTTCTAATGCACACACAGTCAATCTATAGTCAAAGCATTGCTATACTTATTTGTTATTGGTTTATTTTCCAACCGTTTATAGACTGAATCAAACAAAGGACAGTCAGCTTTATGAAACATAGATATACTGGAGATAGAATATATAAGTACACAGCAATAACAATAATGATACTTGTTAATGCATCTCTGAAGCTCCTTTTAAAAAGAGGACACATCATGGAAAACTAATATTTGCATAGACATTTGGGTATCTGGAGTGTACTTACAGAAACCCCATACAGGCTGTATCTCTTCAGGTTGGTTTTGGGTCCAATGACGTACTGGAACAGGTCCAGAGTTTCTAGAGGGAAATCTACAGACGTCTGGAGCTTCTGCTTCCATCTGCCCTCATAGGAGAATCTGCAGAAATTAAACCCATTAAAGAAAAAGAGTGTCAATTGTGGGAACAGTAAGAACATTTACAGAAATTACAAATCAAATCATATTTCCAAAAAAGTGAAAATCTGCATTTAGTTTGGAGCTAAAAGTTATGAATTCATCCATAGACAGTGACAAAGCCATTTAGTGTACATCATTGTAATGCAGACATCCCTACACACCGCTTTAGGTGCACCAGGACGATGGGCGGGACCTTCCAGATCTCCAGCTTCTTGGTGGAGTCTCTGTGGGCTTTGCAGTGTCGGCAGAACACCTTGTTGTTGTCCGTCAGCTTCTCTTCCTTGGAGAACAGCCTCAGACAATCCTGCCGAGAAGCAGCAAGCATATCAGTTGAAATATATAACAGAGAAATATATTTACATAGACACTCAGTAACATTATAAGCCTTCAAGATGTAGCAAGATGAAGGTTTATGTGTTTGTTAAGAGAAAGAAACACTGAACTCAACAGTACAGCATGTTATCTATATATCATATTCTAATTACGTGTATATAGTCTTGCACTATTTTTTATTTGTATTTTATTATTTAACTACGTTGCATCGCTGGAAGAGCTCGCGTCGTAAGATTTTAATTGCCATTTCTATCTAATCTTTACATGTGAAACCCTGCATACATTTGAACTTAAATGTGAACTCTGCTATCCCAACATTACATTTCATTTGGTTGAGTAGCTATGTGAAAATGTTGAAGCTCAAAACAAAACGTTGGTAGGTTGTTGTGTGACCGACCTGCAGGGAGCACTTGCTGGTGGAGGCCAGAGGCAGCGACAGGTACATGAAGGTTTCAAAGGTCCGTGACTTGCGGTGGCAGGTCAGACACTGCACGGTGGACTTGAACTGACCCTGGAACAGAGCCACGATGATGGACTCGTTCAGCAGCTTGTGTTTGCTCCAGGCCAGGTCGGCTGCTGCCTGATCATCCATATGGTCGTTATCCTCCTCTTTGTACCGCTTCCTGTTGTCCGCCTGACACCAGAGACAGAAAACATGTTGATACACAAAAGCAACTGCAGCTCAAGGTGTAAGCAAGCTGTCTTCACGACTCAGGAGAAGTTACATACTGCAGACTGAGTGTCTAAGTGAATTCAAGTCCTGATCTCTTTCAGTTCATTTGCATGCAGTTCAGCCAGGTCATTATGATAGGTAGGAAGATATGAGAGGCAGGTTAACGCTTGCTAATTAATAACTCATTAATTAGACAGACTTATAGCATTAGCCTAGAGATAAAAGGGGAGAGGGGACAGAGCCAACCAATGGCAGACGGGTCTGAACATCACACAAAGGGGATAAGATGGAGAGTGTGTCATGAGAAATGGACGTCATCAGCCGTTACAACCTCATCAAACACAATGGAAAGAGTGAATCTCAAAGCTGCCTTTCCTTCTCATCTCTGACTGCTTGTTGCCTTCCGTTGAAAGAAATTGAAAAACAATCATGTTTTGATGTCTAAAAATAGAAAAAGCATAATTATCAAGCTATGAAATTGTCTTTCCCTATTCATCTAGTCCTTTCCTCCATTCAAATGCACATGAAGCCGGTAACATCAGTCACTACAGGCAATGAGGCATGTCTTGGGTCTACATGCAGAGAGGTTTTGACAGAGCATCAGACCGAACAGATGCAGACACGCCACACTCACACTGCTGCAGGAGGACCAAGGACACACAGCTAGTCACTTACTTTCTAATTTGCCATCAAAATGAAACCAGGTGAAAAAAACAGAAGAAAAATGATAAAAGACTGCGTTTTGCATCGTTAACAGGCAGTAGCAGAAGACACAGTTAAAATAAATTAATGACTTATCATTTATTCACTCAATATGTAATCGAGGTTGAGCACATTAGATGTAAATGTTTCTCCAAGCGGTATTCGAAAGCTTTTAAATACTTTATTTATGTCACATTGATGGTTGTTATAAATGTTGCTTGAAGTGCGTGCGCTACCTTGTTGAGGTCCTCGTGGAGCCCGTCCATGAGGAACAGCAGCAGCTCCTGGGAGTCTTGCTGGTCATAGCAAGCAAACTGGTCATTGATCTTGCCTATGGTGACCTTAAAGTCCCGCGGGCTGATGCTCTTGTACAGACCGCTCCACAGCGCCTTCATGATCACTCCAAACTCCTCCGCCACCTCTCCCTTATGGCCGAGGATGTTGTACCTGGGAGAAACACAAAGCAGCGATGGACATCTTAAATATTTACTTCATTCATGTCTCTTTCTGGGAAGTAGTTATCAGAAAATACCTTTATTTGTCCCACAGTGGGGAAATGTACATTTGTTACAGCAGAAAAGAGCCAAAAACAGCTTAGTATTAAATAAGAAGCATGCACCATTTTCTTTAGTAAAGATACAAAATTAAACAATTTACAAAATACACATCTGTAACCATTTTGGAGATATAGCAGCCAGGTATATTTTGCAGTTATTACAGGCATATATTATTATTACGTTACATATCCAGAATCTGACCTGTTGATGTCCTCCAGGTAGTAATTGTTGTTGAAGTACTCGGCCATGGCAGGAGTGTTGCACAGACATTGCAGGATGGAGTTCATGTAGCATGTGTTGCCCATGTTGCGGAGGCCCGTCAGCGATGGACCCAGACCTCCAAAAGAAGGGTTGAGGTTGCGAATTTTTGCAGCTGACGGCCGTGCGATCTCCACTTTAGAATAGACTTTAGTGGCAGGCCTGCAGGACAGAGGAACACAATGAGAGAGCAGTTTCTGCAGAGATAAGGCTAAAGAGTTTACAATGTGCTGGACAGACAGCTCCTTCACTAACAGACTGCTCCAGATCCTCTGTCACAAGGATACAGGAAAACATAAGTCTATAGAACCACTCACCTCTGGCTGCTCCATAGCTTCTCTTTTGTTAACTGGACTTATAACATCTCACTGTACATTTATATTTAATTTAATATGCCATTCTTGCACACTAAATGTAAATGATATCCTACTTTTATATTGGGTTGGCTGTAATTTAGCTCTTGAATAGTGTTTATATTATTGTCTACATATTTTTATATTCACGGTCAACTTTTATATTTTCACTCTTTTAGTTCTGTTTTATCTCCTATTTTAAGATGTTCATATTGTATCATTTTATATTTTCTACTCTTTTTGTATTCCTAATTATGTGCAATACTTTGTTTTACATGCTGCTACATCGACAAAATCCCACTTTGGGATTAATAGATAATATCTTATCTTAATGTGTTATATCCAAAAAAACACATTATAATGATTGATTCAAAACGCTAGACACTCGGTCGCATTCACACCTAATAGTGCGCTTCTCTGGTGCGCACCAGACCACAGTTTGTTACATCGGTTTGCGTTCACACGGGCAAAACTCAAACGGACTATACATTTTAAACACAAGTCATGTGCACGGAAATGCTGTTCAACCATTGGTCAGACATTAAGGGGGTAAAAAACGCAAATTCCAGCTATTTCTACCGCAGCCTCCGCCATGGAGCATCGGCACTTTCGGCAGGTTATTTTCATGCAGTTGTTAATCTGGAGATCAATAGACTCTAGTGGCCCGCGCATATGATTATATAATCAGACAACGTCCGTTAAAAAACATTATAACGCATATAATGAGAGATGTAAGGAGGGCATTTCACCGACGACAGGTGGCTCTGACTTTTATGTATAGTTGACGGAGCATTTTTACTGTTACGACACTGTTCAACACTTATTACCGGCGGCGATATATTATAAAGACATCCACTTTCTTGTGACTCGTAAATACTATGCTTCCTAGGTTAATATATCGCCGCCGGTAATAAGTGTTGAACAGTGTCGTAACAGTAAAAANTCTCTGGTGTCGGAATGTCTCGCGATGTTAGTGAATTCTTAAAAAACAAAACACCATTTAAAGGTGGGGTAGGTAATTTTGGAGAAACCAGCTCGAGTGCGCTAGAATTTGAAAATAAACAACCGGAAAAAATCTGCCACTTCCTTACAGAGCCCCTCCTCCAACACACACGAACGCGCACATGACCAATGAGGGCACGAGATAAGTTTGTGCACAGATGGAAGGCTGACAGGCAGGTAGGCCATCCAGTTATTTTAGCCGGGCCGGCTCAGAAGATTGGTCGTGCTTTTTACAGTACTACAGCTTCCACAGATGACATGTTTTTATGGATTTGTTGTCAAAGCACTTCAGATATTCATTGCTATCGGGATGTTAAGAGCATTCCATGGAATATAACAAAAAGTTTATCTCGAGCCGGTTTCTCAAACTTACCTACCCCACCTTTAAGACACTAGTTAGACAGTTATTCTGCTTTATAAAAACAGTGATGTATGTAATTAAGTCACACAATTGTATGCCAACCTTTACTTCCCCCCTCACTATGAAACTCTTTCATTGTCATTTTTGTAGAGAACTTTAAAGTAAAGTCGGTTTGTGTTTTTGTTTCTGCAGAGGGAGCCCCTGACCCGAGCAAGAAGTGAGGAGATGGGAAGGAGTGTCCCAGGCCTTCCAATTGGTTGGATGAAGGTACCACATGTTTAAATCTGAAATGTGTTTACTCACTTGATAATTGAAGAATGAAAAAAGGTTAAAAACATATATATTTGAATTGATAAATAATGAAGACCTTATGTGTGCTTGTTTCTTTCATTTAAATGACCTATTTTCTTTCCATGTTCCTCCCTCCATTATTGGCTAGTTCCTGGACACGGTGACGGGGACCTACAGATACTACCATTCCCCGACCAACCGTGTCCACCTGTACCCGCCGGAGGTCACTGTTCCCCAGACCCCCCCCTCCACGCCGCCAACAGTTAAACAGAAACCCCCGCGGCCCGCTGAACCAGACTCCACCCAGGACCAGGACCGGGAGCAGTCTAAACTGAAACGCTCCTACTCCTCCCCCGATATCGCCCAGGACCTGAGAGACGAGGCCCAGAAGAAAACTGTCCCCCCGCCCGCTGATGTCACACCCACCATCAACAGAGAGACCAAGTAAGGCACTCGGATGTTTTCTGATATCACTATATAAATATGGATACTTTCTGTTTGTGCTTGACAAAACTATTATATGTCCCAAACAAATCGACCCATCTGTGGTTCAGGCTTGGGCCTAACCCAAGCCGTAACCATGGAAACAGCTTTATGCTCGAGCCTGATTTACAAACATCATCACCAAGAATCATGAGAACTGTACTGACACATGTTGGTATTCAAATACAAATTAAAACTTAAAACTGAGGTGTCAAAATGTTCAAATATAGACAAAAGCTAAATAAAAGAATGTAGACAATACAATATCTTGACATGCACTAATCAGTTACTGGGGTCAGCTCCTCAGCAATCCCAGCAACTGAAGTCTTAAGGTCGCATTCACACCTGCCTTGTATAGTCCGGTTGAATCGAACCCTGGTACGTTTCACCACTTGGTGCGGTTCGTTTGGGTTGGTGTGAACACAGTCTGAGACCTCTGAAGTGAACTAAACAACCGGACTCTGGTCCGCTTAAAAGAGGTGGTCTCAGACCGCTTGCAAGTGAACTCTGGAGCGGATCATCGCTGATGTGAACGCAGTCCGCACCAAAACCTAGGAAGCGTAGTATTTACGAGTCACAAGAAAGTGGATGTCTTTATAATATATATAAGTGTTGAACGAAGTGAGGATACCCGGCCCGGAGGAAGCCCGGGGTCCCCTTCTGGAGCCAGGCCCAGAAGGAGGACTCGTCGGCGAGCGTCTGGTGGCCGGGCTTGCCACGGAGCCCGGCCGGGCACAGCCCGAAAAGGCGACGCGGGCAACACCTCCGCTTCTCCGTCCCGCGGGCCCACCACCTACGGGAAACAGCGATGGGGTCGGGTGCGCTGCCAGAAGGGTGGCAGTGAAGGCAGAGGGTCTCGACGGACCAGACCCGGGCGACAGAAGCTGGCTTTGGGGACGTGGAACGTCACCTCTCTGGGGGGGAAGGAGTCGGAGCTTGTGCGGGAGGTGGAGCGTTACCAGTTGGATCTGGTTGGGCTCACCTCTACGCACAGCGTCGGCTCTGGAACCTTACTTCTGGATAGGGGTTGGACTCTATTCTTCTCCGGAGTTGCTCAAGGTGTGAGGCGCCGGGCGGGTGTGGGGATACTCACAAGTCCCCGGTTGGGT